CCAGCTCAGAGTTTTTGTTCTCTGTCATATGAAAGGTCCCTGATTAAACTTGTTCCAGCACAATGACCATTCTCAAATTTAGAGACACTGCACTGAAACACACTCACAGAACTCCGTGTTGAAAGAATCAGTAATGAACTAGGAATGCATTTTTTCTCTCAAAAGCCACTACCTTTCCTTAAAATTACAACTAAGATACCATACTTATTTTCCAGGTTCAAAGTGTTTCTGCCCCAACCAGCAAAAACAGACACAGGCTTTTTCTGGCCAGAAAAAAAGAAAAAACAACCACCACTGGAAAGACAATAATTTCTTAGAATGCAGCTCAACCCTTACAAAATCTTTTGTGACTGGAGCCCTAAGGTGATGCACATGGCAGTCTTTTAGATCAAAACAAATCAGTGCACACTCTGAAAATGCAGTAATACTATTCACAAATGGAAACACAAATGCCCTCTCCAGATCTGTTCCACAGCATTTTACCAAGTAAATACAGCAACGAAACCAAATTCCAAAATATACAGGTTCAATAGACATGTTTGTGTCTGTTAACAGCAGAGAGATTCCAGTGTTATGTATTTAACCTTATGTGAAGACTGGGCCTGCTTCCTACAAACATGGTATAACTGCATTTAAGTTTAGGAATCAGAACCACCACAGCAAAACTACAGCTCAGACTACTCTATAAAAGCAGGTAGTAAAAGCTTAATTACCAGTAGCATTATGCTGTTTATATTGTTAAATGGGAACTCTGTCATCAAGATATAGATTGGCTTGTGAACACTGGATTAAAAAGCTCTGAAATGCAGAGTAAAATTTAAGTGCTCTGTAGAAACATCAGGGACAAAAAAAAAAATCTGTTTTTAATACATTTTAAAATGAGAGGTACTAATGCACGGTACTGTATTAGAACATCTTAAAGTAACAATTTGATAAACATAGATTTTGGGATCAAATCAGAACTTCAATATGATGTCTTTATGTATAGTTATCTGTATGAATGTATGAACTCAAAATACAGGTCCTACAAACTGATTTACATGTGTACACAAGCAAAACGTGAAAATGCAAATATATTGTTTGTACTGAGTATCTCTCCAGGTGTCTATTTATACATTTATACACAAAATGGCTCTATTTCAATAGTTTTTATTCCAAAATGCTTTCAAATCTTTGCGTGTGTATGTGTTCTCTCATATAAAAATCACCCATAATGAATCCCTATACATGTGTCATTTGATGGGGTCACTTTTCTGTGTTAAGTTCCCTGGAATGCACCCTCCTCAAAATATGACAGCTGATCCATTTGGAAACTCACCAAAGGACAGGTGAGCTTTGTTTCTACTTTCCTTCATGATCTCCTAAGATTTGATATTCAGGGGCTGAAACATGATGGTCTCTTCTTCTGTCCTGATCTGTCTCCTCTAAGCCCTCCTTTTCCTGTCCACGTGGCTTCCACTACCTTGTTAGCTTGTCATCCCCCCCACTTCACATCCCCAAATAACACGTTTTTTCTCTCCCCCTGTGAGCCAGCACTACTTTTCTCTCAACCATCTTCCATCCAAGCAAGCAGCTCTTCCCTGCCAGTGCTGCTGCTTGGAGAACCAGAAATCCTGTGCTGTCCTTTGCATGTTGATAAACAAAGCAGTGGCTTCTTCCCCCGGGGAATGAAAGTGTCACCTCCCCCAGACTGGGGCCTGCAATTCCAACCACATTCCTGAGCTTGGGTTTCACAGTTACCCATCAGTTTGGGGGAGGGGAAAAGAAAAAAAGGTGAAGAGATTACAGCAGCAAGTGAACTGGGGCTAAGTGTACCTTCATTTTCTCAAGCTATTCTGTAGAAATAAATAAAAATAGTACTATGGGGGAAAGAAAAAGCTGAAGCCAGGTATCAGTTTCCTGAATGTTATCAGGGAATACAGAAGAAGAACATGCCTGCAAACACACATCTGCACTAACTTATCAAACTGTACAGTGCAAAATCTTCCCCCAAGGAGTCTGTACAAAACAGTGGGAATGGAATCAGAGAGGGAAGGAAAACATTGTCAGCAGTGCCTGTCCCAGTCAAGGAGCATTACTGAGCAGCACCTACATTTCCATGGCTCTCTGGGCAGGGAATTTTTCATGTGTGCCAAACAGCACATCTTTAAGCTTCTTCCCATTGAAATACTTATAGACATTTCAGGGCATCTGAACAGCCAGATTCTTAAAGCACAACCACCTCAAGGCAAGTGAAGAAGTGAGATTCAGTGGCACTTGGCAGAAGCTGCCCAGTGCATTGTGTCAAATGGGTATTTACCAAAAGGAGCAACAAGCTCAAGCCATCAGGGAAAGAGCCAGATGATGAAAGGGTGTTAGGTGCTGAGAATTTCTTTGGGAAGAAGTAGACTGTTAACTTGAGATAGAAATTTGCAATATACCATGGAACCTTATTCAAAGTCCAGCTGGAAAATACCTTAGTGTTAAGAGTGTGAAATAAATCCTAAAGTGTCATCAACTATGTGATTTTCTCTTTATTCACAATCACTGATTAAAGAAACATAACTCAGATGTGATCTCACTCTGTGCTCCAGTGACATTAACATTAGAACAATATTGTCACTGTCTACTGGTCTCTTGTGCTCCTCACTGGAAGGCACTTGGTGCACCCCTGGATATCCTGCTAACGAGGTAAAAAACAACCCTTCTAAAGTTCCAGATTTTCCTCCCCTGCTTGTACACAGTTGGACAAACTGGACCAAGTTATTACTTGAAAGCCATCTGCTGGATTTAGCATTAATTACTCCTTGTTTTGATCTGAGGGAAAAAGGCTCACACAGCACAATCTCTGAATGCTCCTTTGAACTTATCCACAGTGTGTTCACAAAGACACAGAGCAAGGCTTTTAGCTTTTGCTGCTACCCTCAGTTCCAGCAGACAAAAAAATGTCTCTGTGAAATAACAGCAATTGCCTTACCATGTTACTGAACTACATTCAGTTTATCTGGTCTCAAACAAATACTCCATATTTTCTCCTTGTTTGATTTTCAAGGGCATGGGTATGGGTATTTAGATGACTGCCTTCACTGGTACAGGATAGAAACGGCTCACATTGCCATAAATGAATATTATTCTCTTGACAAAACACCTTTTCCAAAGCCTCTGACAAAAAGAAAGGGAAAAAGAACCCAGAAAGAAAAAGGGAGCCACAGGCACATTGCCTGTCACCCACCAAAAAAGGTCTCCTCCCTAAAGATAATTTGGGCACATCCTTCAATATGGATCTCTCACTATGACCCCAAGCTGGTTTTTTTGTGGAAGTTTCTTTAGGGAAGCTGAAGTGCATCACTGTCTCAGACAGCCAAGGATACGGTGACTGAGGGAATTCAGTTGCTCTGTTAAATTAATACAGGATTATTTCCCTTTCCTTTGGTGAAGCTAATAATATGACTGGTGGAATGTCAGTAACAATTAAATCATAAACTAGTGCAGCACCAAAGGGAAAACTTACTTTAGTTATGGAGTATTGCCAGCAGAAATCTTGAAAATCTTATCCATATTTACACTGATAAAATACCACATGTACTTCCTGGGATACTGCAAGCTTTCTACAATCCTTGTGGCATGTCTTTACAGAGCAAGAGTTAACATTCTGAGATTATACATTAATAAATGAGTTACAGTTCTATTGTCTCTTGAATGTTAAGCACCACATCCTAAACACAGGAACACGTTCAAAATCAATGTCCTATTTTAGACCTTTTCAGCAGCTGTGATATTATGATAATCACACTTAAAATATTCCTATAGAAAGAGCAAATTAGCCCTTTTCACTAGAAGGATTATTATGATGAAAACCAAATCTGAAAGAGAACAATTTCAGATTTCTTTGTTTGTTTGTTTGTTGGTTGGGTTATTTTTCAGCAATGCAATAAATTGCTGTCCCTAACTGGGATGGCTTTTCTACTCAAGAATTAAAAAGAAAACCCCAAAGTTCATTTGATTATGCACTTATATTACCTTTTGTGGGTTTTGGGTTGTTTTGGAGGTCTCACCTATGTAAAAATACCTTCCTTAAAATGCATTTATGCTTTCTGTAAGAACCAAACCATTCCAGCTGACATACCATTGTATCACCAATACTGCAGGGAAATGTAATATCCCACTGAAGCAGAAGGGAAAGAAAACTGAGCATCAGCAGCTATTCCTAAGCAAGTTTAGGGGTTTAGCTCCATCTAACTGAGGGATGAGATGTGTCCCTCAATGGGTCTTTCCCACTCCCCCACCAGCCCTTCTACCCGACTGCAAGCTCAAAGTTCTAAAAACAGAAGAAGAAGCTGGAGCATCAATATTTCCCCAGTGCAAACCCCACTAATCTTTGCTGTGAGCTGACAGGAATTGCTGTTCCACTGCCCTGGGATATCCTGGCTTGAGGCGAGAGCGCAGCCACGCCCAGAGCCCCCAACCACTCTGAGAGCTTTGGTACCATCTGTTTGTGCATATCCATGTGGCAGAGGCTCCCCCGACATCTGCCGTGGATCTGGTCCAGCTGCTGCACAAAACAAGGCATTCTCCAGCCTGCCTTCCCCCAGCCCCGACCGCCCCAGCCCATCTTCCATCGCTCTGCTTCCTTTTCCTGCCCCTGCTCCCCCTCCGCTCCCTTCACTCTGGCATTTTTATTAGGAATGTTCTTGCTGTTCTTACTGTCCAGGCATAAGCTGATCCCCAGGGGAGCCTGTGTAATGTAACCCCTCGAGCACTAAATTCCTTCCCCTGTGCCAAAGACACAGGTTTGTTGTTGCTGCCCCTCCTGCCGAGCACCAGCTCCATCTCCTGCTCCTGCCCAGCGGCTTTCCAGAAATCCAGGGCTGGGTGTGGATTGAAGGCTATGGCAAGGGACAAGATAAAGTTGCTTGGCTTCCACCCTTGATGTCTCAGTGTTTGTGCTCTTGGGAATCCTCCGGAACCTGGAACAATGGCAGATTATCTGTTGTTGTAAGCTAAGTACCTGGAGATTGTTTTAATATATGTTTAAATCTTCCTTGAAAGTAGAACTGATTGAAAGTACAACTGATAGAAAACAATGTAAAAAAAAAAGGGAAATAGGAAAAAAAAAGAAAAAATAAAATAAAAAAAGAAAAGGAAGAAAAAAGAGAAAAAGGAGAAAAAAAGAGAAAACAAGAAAGAAAAAACAGGAAAAAAATGAGAAAAAAAAGAACAAAGAAAAAAGAGAAAAGAAGAAGAACGAGAAAGAAAAAAGAAAAAAAGGAGAAAAAATAACGAAGAAATAAAAAAGAAAGAAAAGAAAGAAATAAAAAAGAGAAAATAAAAGAAGACAGAAAAACTAAAAACCAAAAAATCCTATCCTCCCCTCCGCAAACACTACAACTCCCACAATGCATCACGCATGGCGGACGCGGGGCGGAGGGCGGGCAGGGGCCGTGGCCGCGCGCTGATTGGCTGCAGGGCGGGTCTCTAAAGGCGGAGGGTGGGCAGAGCGGGCGCCATGTTGGCCGCGTGGTCGGAGTGAGGAGAAGGCGGCGGCCGCTGCAGTTCGCTGTGAGTGTTGGCGGGGACTACGGTAAAAGCGGGGCTCTGGGGATCCCCTCGGGGGCTGCAGGGAGCGCGGCTGTGGCTGGAAAAGCTGGAGGGCTCGGGAGGGCTTAGCGGGGGGGGCTCGGGGGTTCCCGGGGACGTTGTGAGGGGTCCCTGAGGGGGTTCGGTGTCCTGACGGGACTGGGGGGGGGGAGGTTGGAGGTCCCTGAAAAGGTTTGGGTGTCTCCAAGGGGGTTTTGGTTTCTGAGGAGATTTGGGGGGTCCCAGGTGGGCTTTGAGGGTCTGTGAGGAGGTTTGGGAGTCCTGGGTGGGTTTTGCGGGGACCTTTTAGGCAGTTTTGGGGTCTCTAGGGGTTTTAAGAGGTCTCAGACAGTTTTGAGGGTCCCCGAGGGGTACTGGGGGGTCCCTGAATGGGGTTGGGGGGTCCCAGGTGGGTTTTGCGGGTCACTGAGAGGATTTAGGGAGTGCTGGGGAGGGATGAGGTCTCTGAGGGCATTTGAGGGGACTTTGAGAAGGTTTCGATGGGTCGAAGGGGGATTTCAGGGGTTTTGAGGGGATTTTGGGGTGTCCCCTAAAGCCCAGCAGTGAGATTCAGGGGTCCCCCACCTCTCAGGGGAGGGGTCCTAGGGATGCCCCCCAAAATCTGGGGAGGGAGATATCCTGCATCCGGATAAGGGGATCCCAGTGCCCCCAGTATAGCCCAGTGACCTCCCGGTGACCCTCAGTATGGCCCATAACCCCCTCAGTGACTACCCAGTGTGTCCCAGTGACCTCCCACTGTCCCCCAGTATGGCTCAGTGATCCTGCAGGGAGCACCCAGTAACCCCCAGTATGGCCCAGTAACCTCCCAGTGTCCCCCCGTGTGTCCTGGTAATCCCCCAGTAACTCCCCAGTTCTCTGCCAGTGCCCCCCAGTGTCCCTCAGTAATCCCCCAGTCCCTCCCAGTGCCCCCTGGTTCCCCCCAGTGTGTCCCAGTATCCCTCAGTATTCCCCCAGTGCCCCCCAAAGCCCCCCAGCTGTCCCCAACGTGTCCCCAGATGCCCTTGGCCTTTGTGACTGTGGCGGGGAGGGGGGATGTTTTTGGTGTCAGAGGGTCCAGGGGAGGCTCCTGGGGTGAGATGGAAGGTTGGGGACATCAGGGTTGGGGTTTGGGGACAGTGGGGTGGGGTATGGGGACAGTGGAATTGGGGGGAATTATGGCCATGGAGAGGCCCTGAGGACATTGGAGACACCAGGGGGGTCTCAGGGTGTTAAGGGGGGGAATTAGGGACACCGAGAAGGTCTTGGGAACCCCAGGGGGGCATCAGGACTCACCTCCTCTTTCCCCCCCAGACATCATTAACCCCCCCAAATGTCTCCCAACCCCCATTTTCCTTTTAATCTCTTCCCCCTACAGATTCCTTTGATCTCCCAAGACCCCTTTTAACTCCCCTAAATGCACCCAAAACACCCTAAAACCTCCCAAATTCCTATCCATCATCCCCCCTCCCAGATCCCCCCAAATCTCCCCCAGCTTCACCTCAAATCCCTTCCAACCTCCCCCCAAAGAGGGATCACCCGGCACCCTGGGACAGGAACACAGTGGGCTGTACTGGGGGCACTGGGCTGGACTGGGAGGGCACTGGGGGGGGCTCAGGTGTCCCACAACAACGTGGCCCAGCTCCAGGAGAGTTCCGGGGAGCAGTGAGGAGGTACTGGTCTGTCCTGGTTTGTACTGGTTTGTACTGGTCTGTTCTGCTCTGTATTGGTTTGTACCTCCAATCTCTGAGGAGGTTTGGGTGTCCTGGGAGGCTTTGCGGGGACCTTTTAGGCAGTTTTGGGGTCTCTAGAGGGTTTACGGGGTCCCAGACGGTTTTGAGAGTCCATGAGGGGGACTGGGGGGGTCCCTGAATGGGCTTGGGGGGTGCCAGGTGGGTTTTGCGGGTCACTGAGAGGGTTTAAAGGGTCCTGGGGGAGGAATGAGTTCTCTCAGGGGGTTTGAGGGGACCTTGAGGAGGTTTTGACGGGTGGAGGGGGGGATTTCTGACGGGATTTCAGGAGTTTTGAGGGGATTTTGGAGAGTCCCCTAAAGCCCAGCGGTGAGGTGCAGGGGGTCTCCCAGCTCCCAGGTGAGGGGTCCTAGGGATGCCCCCCAAAATCTGGGGAGGGAGATACACTACATCCGGGTAAGGGGATCTCAGTGCCCCCAGTATATCCCAATGACCTCCCAGTGACCCTCAGTACAGCCCAGTAACCCCCTCAGTGACCAGCCAGTGTGTCCCAGTGACCTCCCACTGCCCCCAAGTATGGCCCAGTGATCCTCCAGTGAGCACCCAGTAACCCCCAGTATGGCCCAGTAACCTTCCAGTGTTCCCCCAGTGTGTCCTGGTAATCCCCCAGTAACCCCCCAGTCCCTCCCAGTGCCCCCTGTTTCCCCCCAGTGTGTTCCAGTATCCCCCAGTAATCCCCTGGTGCCCCACAAAGCCCCCCAACTGTCCCCAACGTGTCCCCAGATGCCCTTGGCCCTTCTGTGAGTGTATGTGGGGGGGGGCGTGTGTTTTCGGTCAGAGGGTCCAGGAGGGGCTCCTGAGGTGAGATGGAGGGTTGGGGACATCAGGGATGGGGTTTGGGGAAAGTGGAATTGGGGGTGTCAAGGGGGAAATTGGGGCCATGGAGAGGCCCTGGGGACACTGGAGACACCGGGGGGTCTCGGGGTGCCAAGGGGGGAATTGGGGAACACCAAGAAGGTCTTGGGGACACCAGGGGTGTCTCAGGACTCACCTGCTCATGGTGGTGCCCATCCTCTCCTCCCCCAGGCCCCATTAACCCCCAAATGTCCCTTAAACTCCATTTTCCCTTTACTGCCCTCCCCCCACAGATCCCTTTGACACCCAAGCCGCTTATAACTCCCCCAAATGCACCCAAAGCCCCCTAAAAACCCCTAAATTCCCATCCAACCCCTCCCAAATCTTTCCCAGTCCCCCCTCAAATCCCTTCCAACCCCACCCAAAGAGGGATCACCTGGCACCCTGGGACAGGAACACAGTGGGCTGTACTGGGGGCACTGGGCTGGACTGGGAGGGCACTGGGGGGGGCTCAGGTGTCCCACGACAATGTGTCCCAGCTCCAGGAGAGATCTGGGGAGCAGTGAGGAGGTACTGGTCTGTCCTGATTTGTGCTGGTTTGTCCTGGTTTGTACCCCCAATCCCCAAAGCCCCTCCCCAGCTCCCCCAGGCCCCTGACTTGGTCCTGCTGCCCCTTGAGCATCTGCAGCTCCTGCAGAACCAGGCATTTCATCAGCAAATGTGCAGCTGACACCAAGCTGGGGGTGTGTTGATGTGCTGGAAGGCAGGAGGGCTCTGCAGAGGGACCTGGCCAAGCTGGATCCATGGGCTGATTGCAAGGGGCTGAGGTTCAAGCAGGCCAAGGGCCGGGTCCTGCCCTTTGGCCACAAGAAGCCCCGTCAGCCCCCTGGGCTGGGGCCAGAGTGTCTGGAGAGCAGCCAGGCAGAAAGGGAGCTGGGAGTGTGGATTGCCAGGAAGGTGAACAGGAGGCAGAGTGTGGCCAAGAGGGCCAGTGGATGGTGTCCTGTCTGAGGAAGAGTGTGGCAGCAGGGGCAGGGAAGTGATTGTTGGGCTGGACTGAGCGCTGGTGAGGCCACCCCTGGAGTGCTGTGTCCAGCTCTGAGCCCCTGAGTTGAGGAAGGCCCTGGAGGGGCTGGAGCAGGTGCAGAGAAGAGCAGCGAGGCTGGGGAAGGGAGTGGAGCACAAGTGGTGTGAGGAGAGGCTGAGGGAGCTGGGGGTGTTGAGGCTGGAGAAGAGGAGGCTCAGGGGAGACCTCCTGACTCTCTGCAAATCCCTGCCAGGAGGTTGTAGCCAGGTGGGGGTGGGGCTCTTGTGCCAGGAAGCAGCAGTAGGACAAGAGGGCTGGGTCTTGAGCTGTGCCAGGGGAGGTTTAGGTTGGATATTAGGAAGCAATTTTTTCCCCAGAGAGTAATCAGGCCTTGGAATGGGCTGGGCAGGGAGGGAGTGGAGTCAGTGTCCCTGGAGGTGTTGAAGGTGAGAGTGGATGTGGCATCAGTGCCATGGGTTGGGAAGCACAGCGGGGTTGGATCCAGGGTTGGACTTGATGATTTGGGAGGTCTTTTCCAACGTGGCTGATTCTGTGATTCTCTGATTCCCATTCCTATGGCAGCACCTGCTTGAGGCTCTATCCCCAGGGTGATAGAGATGTCTGTCCATATATATCTGCAAGGTTAGTGTGTAAATATGTGCTGTTAGAAAAACAGGCTAAGTTCTGTGATAGTTCTAGAAAGAGAAAGAAGCCCAGAGGCCAGTGCAAGCAGGCAGCCCTCAGCTTGCACATCATTTCCCCTCCCTGCAGGTTCGTGTCCTTGAGCCCAGGCCCTGAGGTGAGGCTGAGAATAAGTGCAAGGCCAACACACTCAGCCCTTGTTTTCTCCCCGTCAGGATTTGTTCTTCCCAAAGCTTGGGCGGATGGAGGAGGAGGCTGCGAGGAAGAGGAAGATGCCTTGGGCCCCCCAGGCAGGTGAGGAGGAAGTCAGTGGCCCTTTGGGCGGGTGTTGTGCTGGCTCTGGCAGCCGAGCATGGCCCCCGGCTGCAGGACAACCCCGCTGCCGCCGCCGTCCTGCCGGGGCTGGAGTTGGGGGGATGTCCTTGGCCTTCCCTGTGGTCCGGAGGCAAATCCCCTCCCTGTCCTTCTTGCTTCCTGCCCCAGGCCCTGAGCTGAGGACGGAGAGCCCGGAGGACAAATCCCCCCAGCAGAGCCTGGTGGGAGAGGCCGTTTTGAAGGGCTCCACAGCGCAGGAAGGCAGCGGGGAGGAAAAGGGCCAGAGATCCCCCCACAGGAGGGGCTCCAAAGCCAGCCCAGGGTGCTCTGAGGAGGAAAGACCCAGCCTGTGCCGGGAAGGCGGCCGGAGCTTGAGGTGGAGCTCTGAGCTGGTGGTCCCTGAGCAGCCTCCCAGCAGAGAGAAGCCTTTCAAGTGCTTGGAATGTGGGAAGAGCTTCAGGATGAGCACCAGCCTCCTCAAGCACCGGCACATCCACACTGGGGAACGTCCCTACACGTGTAGGGATTGTGGGAAGAGCTTCAGTGACAGATCCAACCAGATCCGACACCAGCGCATCCACACCGGGGAACGACCCTACACATGTGGGGAATGTGGGAAGAACTTCAGCCGGAGTTCCCAGCTCTTAACCCACCAGCGCATCCGCACTGGGGAACAGCCCTACACGTGTGGGGCGTGTGGGAAGAGTTTCAATGACAGCTCTGGCCTCCACCTGCACCGTCGCATCCACACTGGGGAACGGCCCTACAAGTGTGTGGAGTGTGGGAAAAGCTTCAGGATCAGCTCCAGCCTCCGCACCCACCAGCTCATCCACACTGGGGAACGGCCCTACAAGTGCTTGGAATGTGGGAAGGGGTTTCAGACCAGCTCAGATCTCCTGAAGCACAAGCAGACACACACAGGGGAGTGGGCTTTCCACTGCACCGACTGCGGGAAGGGCTTCAACCGGAACTCCACCCTTGTCACCCACCGCCGCGTCCACACTGGGGAACGGCCCTACAAGTGTGGGGAGTGTGGGAAGAGGTTTAAACGCAGCTCACATCTCCTCCTGCACCAGCGGACGCACACAGATGAGAGGCCCTTCCGCTGCACCGACTGCGGGAAGAGTTTCAACCAGAACTCCAACCTCGTCACCCACCGGCGCATCCACACTGGGGAGAGGCCCTTCAAGTGTGGGGAGTGTGGGAAGAGCTTCACTGACAGGTCTGGCTTGACTCAACACCAAAGGACCCACCGGTAAGGGAAGCCCTGAGTGCGGGAAGAGCTTCGGCCACTGCTTCCACCCCGAATGAACCCCCTGATGGTGAGGCAACCCCTGGAGTCCAGGGGCTGTCAGTCCATCCCTTTCAACCACAAAGGGCCAGTCCCCTTTCCCAGGGGCAGGTTCTGCCAACAGAACCCTTCTTGGGGGGTGTGTGGAGATTCCTGCCTTGGCTGGGGACCCCCCAAGGTCAGTCCTGGAGGTTGAGAGCAGAGATCTCCCCATGAGCATTGGTCTGGGGGAGTTCCATCCATCTTTAATTAAGAATTATTGCTTTTGTGCCAGCTTGAGTAGAATTGCTTCAACAATTGCTTTAGTGTAGAGCACTGTCCTATCTTATCCTGTACTCCTGGTAGTTTCAGTATGTATTTTGTGTGGTAAGGAATTCTGATGAAGGTCTTTGGTCTGATCATTTGGAACCCTAAATAATTCATTTCTGTAAATAGATCTGATTTGTCA